TATTGACTCTAACTTTCATGATAAATGAGAAGCATACAACATAACGATATTTTTTTTTTAAGCTACAATGTTTCCTCAAAAGGAGATAGAGGGACTGGTATTTTTTGATCTTCTGAAAATGCTGGTTCCCTGGTTTTCATGGCAATTCAGAAGCTTTAAGCGGTAATAAACATTAAAGAAAACTCTCCCTGCAAGGTAAAGGCATAATGTAAGCTTTGCATACTAGCATATTTTAAAAGACTTGCCTTGAAATGAAGCCCTCCAAAGGCATGCTGTCACCACTGTAGAGGCTTCACCCAGCCTTCCTTCTGGGTTCATGGGCTGCGTTCGCTTGAATGGCCGAGCCACGACGTCATCACGGCACAGAGCTCTGAAGGACCGGCACGGGGTAACGTCACCGGCTGCCGCTCACTAGAATATCTCCTAAATGGTGCATGTTTGGGGGATATTCATTTAACCTACAGGTAAGCTTTATTATAAACTTACCTGTAAGTAAAAATAGTTTACTACTTAAAATGCTTTGAGTCACTTACCTAGAGAAGGCCTACAGATAAGAAATTCTGACTTCACTTTGACTCTGCGTACTGACGTTTTTTGGTCTGGGTCTAGTCAACCTCTACCATTTACTGCTTGGCAGAACATTTAATGTGAGGAAAGGGAAAAATACATCTACTAGAGCAGCGAGACTATAAACCTGAAAACTGATATGGGGAAAACAACCTGTACAGTACATGCGGCAATAATAAACCTATGGGTGAAATAGGCATTCTCTTTTAATCTGGTTTTGGTCAGCTGACTGTTCTTGTATGAAAAGGTATTATGCGATCAGTACAGTGTTTGTTTTGTACTCTGGGTACCTGCCAGGGCAGGTGTGTAAATAACATAGATTGGAACGTTGTGTTACCTACAGTGAAAGAACTAAACTGTGGAAGTTGTGTCCAGAAAAAGGCAGAGGGCAAAGTCCCCTTCTTGGTCACCTTGCAGTTGATCTTTTCCTCGCTATTGACTCACCATGCCTTAGGCCCCATTCACACAGTTGTGCTATTTGATTGGGATGCCTAACACACCAAGATGCATCAAAAAGGTGCATGTAGAGTTTTTGTCAGAGTTGTGCTGCAATGCCAATGTGTTAAGGTGTTTTGTGGTGCCTATTATTATTATTATTTATACAGGATTTATATAGCGCCAACAGTTTGCTCAGCGCTTTACAATATAACGGGAGACAATACAGCAACAATACAGTTCAATACAAGAGGGATAGGAGGGCCCTGATCCTCGGAGCTTAGGAGGGAGGGGCTAGTGGTACAAAAGGTAGTAACTGTGGGGGATGGACTGGTAGGAGGAATAGAAGATTCCATTATTAGCTGAGGGCAGGATAGGCTTCCCTGAAGAGAGAGGTTTTCAGAGATCGCCTAAAAGTGAGCAGAGTAGGCGATAGTCTGATAAATTGGGGTAGAGAGTTCCAGAGGATGGGGGAAGCTCTGGAGACGAGCATGGGAGGAGGAGACGAGGGAGCTAGAGAACAGGAGGTCGTGCGAGGAGCTGAGAGTATGGTTTGGGTGATATTTGGAGACAAGATTGGTGATGTAATTTGGGGCAGAGTTATAAATGGCTTATTGTTAATTTATGACTAATGGCATCTCCTCACACCAATGCATGTAATGTATGCATTACCCCAGCACAGTGGTGTGACATGGCCCTTTCTTCTGTACAGTGTCCTTCAGTGGAGGTGGCCTTCTCAGTGGAGGTGGGGTTTTCTTTCCTCATTTCAGAGCCTCCAATAAGGAGAACAGTGAGCAACACAGTAATGACATCTCCAAATCCCCACACAATACAGTAGTTGTGCTTCACCCATAGTCAATAAAGAATCTGTACACTTACACAGGGCTATGGACCCCTTCCTTGACACAATCAGACAAGGCTGGACCCCACTGTTGCATGGAAAAGGAAGTGCTCTGCATGCTTACCCATACTTAGAAGTGCCAGGTATTTCATTTCACTGTGCTACTATGTAGGGTGGCCATACAGAGTAACACAGGAGTGAGGAAAACCAAGTACAGTGGGTTTTTCTTTGTATCCCCAAGAATTATTTTTGGCAGTTGTGGCTGCAATCTTTCTTGCTCCTCCTGACCTTGGGTTGGTATCAAGAGATCCCTGAATTTACCACTTCTTAAGTGATTGAACAGTATTGACTAGCATATTTAAAGCTTTGGGTATCTTTTTATATCCTTTTCCATCTTTATAAAGTACCATTACCTTGTTATGCAGATCTTTTTCTGCTCCTGTGGCTCAGTATCTAGCCTGCTCAGTGCATCCACGTGAGAGCTAACAAACTCATTTACTCTTTATACACAGACACTAATTGCAATTTATAAAACCACAGATGTGGGACAATAACCATTTAACTGACATTTTAACCTGTGTCTTTACCAAGACCAAACATTCCAGGGTATATAAACTTTTGATCAGGGCCATTTGAGTGATTTCTGTTGTCATTCTGATTTAACCACCACCTCCCGCCCGCCATATAGTCCAATGATGGGCGCAAGGTGGTTCTCTCGTTTTGAGAGGATGTCATATGACGTCCTCCCATTCTCACCGCACATGCCCCTCGGACACAGCGGATCACCGATCACGGAAAGAGCCGAAGATGTCGGCTCGGTCATGTGATCAGCTGTGTCCAATCACAGCTGATGAAATGTAAACACCTAAATGCCGGTTATCAGCATTCCTGTCCTCTCGAGCTGTCACGCTGACAGCTCGAGAGGAGAGCCGGTAATCGGCTTTCCATGGAGGGGACATGTACATTGATCATCAGGGCAGTGATGATCAGTGTAGCCCCAGCAGTGCCACCTGTCAAAGTCCATCTGTGCCAGCTGTCAGTGCCAGTGCCACATCAATGCCACATATCAGTGCCCATCTGAGTTGCCTATCAGTGCCGCCTAACAGTTCCATATATCAGTGCCATGTATCAGTGCTGACTTTCAGTGCCCATCAGTGATGCCTGTCAATGGCCATCAGTGCCACCTACCAGTGCCTCCTCATCAGTACCACCAATCAGTGTCCATCAGTGTAGCCTATCAGTGCCCATCACTGCAGCCTCATTAGCGCACATCAGTGAAGTAGAAAAAAATCACTTATTTACAAAATGTTATAACAAAAACTAATAAGAAAAAACGTATTTTCAAAATTTTCAGTGGTTTTTGGTTCGTTTAAGAAAAAATAAAAAACCCCGAGGTGATTAAATACCACCAAAAGAAAGCTATATCTGTCACAAAAAAATTATTTCATATGGGTACAGTGTTGCATGAAGACCGCGCAATTGTCATTCAAAGTGCGACAGCGCTGAAAGCTGGAAATTGGCCTGGGTAGGAAGGGGGTATAAGTGCCCAGTAGGCTAGTGGGTAAAGAGGAGTCAAACAACTATGTGATAATAAATGGCTTCATATGATCACTTAAATAAAAGACAGTCTTTTGGCATGAGCAGTCAAATTCTCAATATCCATGCCAAAATGTAATGATTTTCTGCCAGGGTATGCAAACTTTTGAGCACAACTGTATGTGCTGCTGGGGAGGGGGGATGGTGACCCATTTCTTTAACCCATAGTCACTTTAGGAACGGACGCTAAATTGGTAGTAAACAGCCAAAAAAAAAATTCCCCTGTAAAATGTCATAATGTGCTAGTATGCTTTACATACTAGTGCATTATGAAAAACCTGTCTTAGGATGAAATCCTCCAGCGATGTGCTGTCACCACCGACAGGGCTTCCATCTTCACCTGGTCTTTTGGTTTGGTTCATAGGCTCTTGCCGCTTAATTGGCTGAGCCGCGATGATGTCACTCTGGCGTATGATTGCAGTAGTCTCTGCCACGGCACAGAGCTCTAAAAGAATGGCAGGGGTATGCCATTCCTTCAGAGTGCATGTGTCGTTAATGTCATCAGCTGCAGGGACACTGAATATCTCCTAAATGCTGCATGTTTAGGAGATATTCCTTGTACCTACAGGTACGCTTTATTATACGCTTACCTGTAAGTACAGTGTCCAGTGGGAGTTTACTTCCACTTTAAATTTGGCAAAATCCATCCATTTCCAATAATGGTAACCTACAAAGTCACATAAATAAAATTACAGGAGAACAAAAATTTGAAAGTGTAAAAGAAAAAAACATGAAGTCCTATCTGTGTGTTACTGTTATCCATGTAGAGCTTTTCCCCTGGCTTTCTGTCCCAGTGACCAGCAAGCCATTGCTGTGAGCCAAACGTCTTATGAAACATCTACTAGGAAGCCAGTGACATCAACCCCCTAGTACAGTCTACAAAGGATTACATAGAGACAACAGTTTAAAGAGAGGAAACAGGTGGTTCAGATCCCATCCAGGAAATAAAGAAGAAATATCTCCAACAGGTCAAGGACAAACATTTTATATCTGCTCAGAGGTTGGCTATGCAGAAATTATAGCTTGATGTATATTCAACTTTCTGTGAAATCCAGCTTTGCATGATATTCATTAATCTTTTTCACCCCATTGTGTGTAGCTGAGACTTTTCCTTTGTTTCTTTGATGGCTCATGACATTACTGTTGACCATGTTCTTGTCTTTTGCAGGTGAGGCCCCACCATGTGGAAGGGCTTTACTATTGCCCTGGCTCTCTGCCTTCTCCCTTGGGGAGGGGCAGAGAGCCAGGGTCACCGAACGCTGTGTAAAAAACCACCAGACTGGAAGATAGGAAGCCAGAATCCCATGCTGGATGCAGATGGAACAGTCACAGTTGTGGCACTTCTTCAAGCAAGCTGATACTTGTGCCTGCTGCAAGCTTCCAGGTGGGACACAATGCTATCAGTTTTGTACAGTTCTTAGAAAAAAAGCATAAATACTTGTACGTACTTATATTGTACCATAAAATAATTTTTTTTGTCTAAACTTGTAACTTTAATTCCATCAGCTTGGAAGAATTGCGGCTGAAGTTGGAGAATGAACGCTATACAAATGTGTCCTTTATGGTCATCAACAACCAAGAGGAACGCTCACGCTTGAAATACCACGAGCTGAAGTCCAGGGTCTCCGAACACATTCCGGTATATCAGCAAGAGGAGGAACAACCAGATATCTGGAAACTACTGAAGGGGAATAAAGATGACTTTTTCATTTATGACAGGTGATTGATGTACATTCATTTTCAGTAGCATAAGACAGCTGTGAAAACCATACATTTATTAGCAAATAACCCTGAATTGCTTTCCAGTGTGTCCAGAGTTCAGAATTTGCTTGCTTGTTAAAGTGTGGCCTGTACAAACAGTTACATTTCATTGACAACAGCTAGAACATATTATCTTGGTAGTCCCACATTGTTTTATGAAACGTTTTTGCTTAACAAAAACCCACTCTTTCCTAAAATATATATATATATATATATATATACACACACACACTATAAAATGCTTGAATCTTCTTGATCGCTATTGGTCCATCCTTGTGACTGACACCTTCACTGACCAGTGGAGAGGTGCAGTCGGTATAGACAGCAGTGAGGCAGAACTTGACCTTAACAGAAAAATTTACATAATAGAGCACGCCTAGCTATCAAGATGCCTGGGCATCCATGAAAATTGTTAAAGTTTTTTTGTGTTTTTTTTTTTTTTTTTTTCTCCCAAAGGTACCAGAATTTTTTGGATGGGTCTATTTAAATCCCACAGATCCAGGACTATTTTTATTTATTTATTTTTTTAACACAGTGGGCCTTATATTATCAATGTCTGAAATAAGTACATCAGAGCTGGGCTGAAATAGCTTTCGTGCAGCATTAAAGCTGGTCATACACGATCCAATTTCAGCCAATTCCTTCGGAATCGATTCAATCAGGGTATCCCTGCTGGCATTACCTGGCTCAACAAACTTAAATGAAGGTTGAAGGAGCTGGGTGAAAATTGCCAGGCAAACAGTGACTTCAGCCAATCAGCTACAGTATCTGTTTATGTATTCTGAAAGCCACAAGTGCCAGCTGTCAGAATTCAAAACTCAGCAGAGGAGATTCATCCGTCCACACTGTTTGCCATGGATGGAGAAATCTGTTCGATTTCCTTTGCTTGGCCCACAGGCTGAATGAAAGAAATCTATGTGTGTATGGCCAGCTTAAGCCTTCTCCTTGTCCCTGTGGACAGGCAGTTGCGACTGTCGGTCACAAAATGTTGAGAAGGAGTTCAGATGACTGCACAGGGAAATGGCTTTTAAGAAAAATGTCAACTGTTCCCAGACATGACTTGTTTAGAGCTGTGTAAAACACTATAAAACAAAGGCCTTTAGGCATTGCCAGCTTAATAATAATAAAAATAACATTGGTATTAGGATTGTATGGTTGTGCTAAATCCTTTAGGGCAGATGCTTTCATTTTCTATATTTTATTTCAGGTGTGGGTGCTTGGTGAAACACATCGGGCTTCCCTATGCATTTTTGCAGTTCAGTTATGTGGAGGATGCAATAAAGTCAGTGTATTGTGAAAACACCTGTGGAGACTGCAAACACCAGGTATTCCTGCTACCACTTGTGTGGTAAAAACTGTAATTAGATGAGAAAATGTTTCCTTTTTTGAAAGGGATCATCTAACCAGGGCAATACACAAGGAAATTAATATTTTTTAAATGACATAAATATTTTAGAACTATAACTGCTATAATGTTACTATGTAACTTTCTCAACTACAACCAAAGCTACATTATTATTTTGCCTGCGTAAACTTTTCAGTCAAAAACCTTTTACTTCCAAATGGTTGTATATAGTTCTAAATTTTAGTTGAGATTAAGATTAGATTTTATGTGCCCCCCTAGGCATCATCACAACAGAAGTTAACCAGGATTTTTCCTGGTCATTCAAGTTTTCACATATTTTTAACTTGAGCACAACATATTCTTTACATGCAGTAAATGAGCGTTTAAACAAGATCCGATCACTGACATCATTAGTTGTAGCGCAGTTGAGCAATTCATCCAACAGAGGCACACAGGGCAGCATTTTTCAACAGGTTAGAGCACCTACACAGAAGGCTGCAAGTTACCACTGTGAGAGATGAGCTGTAACTTCATTGATTAGTTATGAGCTTTAATTATGAATTTCCACAGTGCCTGTAGCTATAGAGGTCAGTAAGGACGTATTTAAAGCTCACTTGATGCTTAAAATGTCCAAAGCCTTCCTACAGAGAATGTTCCCCTATTTGGCTGTTTTGGTCAGTTTAGGGAACTGTGTTTCTATATCCTTCCTGACATTTTCCAACTAAACATGATAAAGCACCCTTGGTGAAAAAGTTGCCAGGATGGCTTTTCAGCTGATTGCTTTTGGTTTCCCTAAAATAAACTAGTGCTCAGATTATCCCCTTTCCTTCTTCCATAGGGCAAAAAGTGTATGTTCACAGTGCAAATGTACATATTTGTAATTCTAATATTTTCAAAAATATTCTAATGATACAAATAAACCAAGGCATTCTTCTATTAAGTAAAAAAAAATTTGAAAAGGACATGTACAAACATAATCTGATCATTAAAATCCACTTTAGGGGTTACACTAAAAATATCTGTTCTGTAGATTCCCGATGTGTGCAAGAAAGAAGAGGAAGTACCAGCACAGGATAAAGTTGAGGAAGAGCCAGTGGAGGCACTTAAACATCGTCCCCATCATCATCGCCACCATCACAGACATGGCCATCGGCAGCGGGAGGAGGACACATTGGCAGGCAGTGGTCCAAACACCAATGTGCACAGGAAACATGACCGCCAACAGGGAGAAGGAGAGGGAGACGTTGAAGATGTCAGGGTAGAACACCTTACAGAGAACAGGGTAGCTGAGTCAGACACCTCAGTCATAAGAAACAAACTCTGAAAGAAGGTTAGGAGCTGACGAAAGCAATATCTCTGAGACTGGGAGGAGGAGTCAGTCAAGACCACCAATAGCTGATGCTGACACTGCAGACAGCTGTCCTTCGAGACGGCATTAAACGGAATCACTTGACAGTGTAAGGGGGTTCTCCCAGCTTCCTGCCGGTGACAGGAACTGCTGGTGGACAGCCCCTCAGAATCCTGACAGTGACGTCTGCCATCTGCTGCATGACAAACATCCAGTGCAGGTCATCCTGATGACAAGCACTCCTCAGTCACAGAGCATCGTGTCGCTTGAGACTGATCAAAGGGGACAGAAAACTGACAGTGACGTGAATTGTGCAATAAGCACCAGTAAGCTGCTAAAATATTGCACTAAAGTATCAACAAAATGCAAGACATGTGGCTTTCCAGCTGTGATTGAACTAGTTGTACCAACGTAATCTGCTATCAGTTGCAGGATTTGAAGTTCTAGAAATGCTGGATAGCTACCTGTTCTCTAGCTAAGTCAGTAATCTTGTCACCTAAGATCACCATGGTTAGACTTCACTCTTCTGGAGAGCTTGGCAGGTAATTGCAGTGCACTTAGTTGCTGAATCTCCAGATTTCACGGGTATAACCATGCAGGCCTACCATCAAAGCCATTTATAGGAGTCCTCTGGAATAGGCAGATTGCTAAGGTGATGTGCATGTATGTGGAGGTGGTTAATGTCATTTACATGTGTGACTTCTGGCAGACAATAGAATCTTTATAAACGTAGTACATTTAGCATACCTTGTGGGTCCTGCTGTAGCTACTGCTTGAGCTTGTGTGTTACATTCTCACCAATGAAGCCTATATGGACTTTCTAACACCCAGCTACATTGCTACAGGACCTACCTCAAGAAATTTAGCATTATTTTTCAAGAAACACCAATTGCTAGACCAGGAGCACACAGGTAATTGACCCTTACACCACCGTAGACATTTGCATATCCCAGAGTTGACATTTTAACATCTAAGAATGCTTTCATGCAGCTCCAGTTTTTGTGCCTCTCTTGTTCATCTCCTGATACTGTGGTTGCATTAATGAAGGCTGAAGCATAAACTACAAAATAGGGGCTTTTGACTGATAACTTGCAATCATAACCAGAGATCGGACTAGAGATGAATTCTTTAAGTCAAATTGCATATTTTTTTTTTTCTTGTATAGATAACTGTAGTAAGTCTCAATTCTGACATTAGGTTATTATGAAAACATTTTTGTTACTCCACTTTCTTTTTTTTTTTCTTTTGTGATGAGATTTTCGCAGTTTGTTTTTAATGTGTTTGTTGCTTCTATAGCAAATGTTGTAAACCAATGATGGTTTATAGGGAAATAAAATCCTAGTCAGCCTGAAGTACATTTTACAAGTGTGCTATGGAACAAGAGTGTAGTATGTTACCAGGTCAGTAAAAGAGTCGAATATCTCTAAACAACCACAATAAAAGGTTCCATTAAAGTTCAGTGTCTTTGTGTGTTTTTTTTTTTTTTTTAAATATCTCCTGGTGTTGTGTAGAAAAACTACTAAATACACTGCTCAAAAAAATTAAAGGAACACTTTGAAAACACATCAGATCTCAATGAGGAAAACATATCATGCTGGATATCTATACTGATATGGACTGGGTAAAGGGTTAGGAATGTAAGGATGCCCCATCGTTTGATGGAAATGAAAAATCTCAATCTAAAGAGGACTGAATTCAAAGACACCCCAAAAATCAAAGTGAAAAAAATATGCAGCAGGCTAGTCCATTTAGCTGAAATTTAATTGCAGCAACTCAAAATGGTACTCAGTAGTTTGTATGGCCCCCACATGCTTGTATATATGCCTGACAACATCGGGCATGCTCCTAATGAGACGAATGATGGTGTCCTGGGGTATTCCCTCCTCCCCCAGATCTGGACCAGGGCATCACTGAGCTCCTGGACAATTTGAGGTGCAACCTGGTGTCGTTGTATGAACCAAAACATGATATCCCGGAGGTGTTCCATTGGATTTAGGTCATGCGAGTGTGGGGGTCATTCAATGGTATCAACTTCTTCATCCACCAGGAACTGCCTACATACTTTCGCTATGAGGCCGGGCATTGTCAGGCACTAGGAGGAACCCAGGACCCACTGCACCAGTGTAGGGTCTGACAATGGGTCCAAGGATTTCATCCCGATACCTAATGGCAGTCAGGATGCTATTGCCTAGCCTGTAGAGCTCTGTGTGTCCCTCCATGGATATGCCCCCCCATATCATCACTGACCCACCACCAAAACAGTCATGCTGAAGGATGTTACAGGCAGCGTTACATAGTTAGTCTGGCTGAAAAAAGACAAAAGTCCATCCAGTTATAATCCTACACCCACAGTTGATCCAGAGGAAGGCAAAAAAAAAAAAACCCCAGCAAAACATGATCCAATTTGCTCCTGATAGGAAAAAAAATTCCTCCCTGATCCCCCAAGAGGCAATTGGATATTCCCTGGATCAACTTTACCTATAAATGTTAGTATCCAGTTATATTCTGTGTATCCAAGAAAGAATCCAGGACTTTTTTAAAGCAATCCATTGAGCTGGCCAGAACCAACTCTTGAGGGAGTCTATTACACATTTTCACAGCTCTTACTGTGAAGAAACCTTTCTGTGTTTGGAGATTAAATCTCTTTTCCTCCAGACGTAAAGAGTGCTCCCTTGTCCTCTGTGATGACCTCAGGGTGAAGAGCTCTACACCGAGTTCTCTATATGAACCACTGATATATTTATACATGTTGATCATATCCCCCCTTAATCTCTTCTTCTCAAGAGAGAATACATTCAGTTCCTCTCATATTTCCTCATAGCTGATCTCCTCCATGCCTCTTATCAGTTTGGTTGCCCTTCTCTGTACTTTCTCCAGTTCTCCACAGCTTCTCCAGACCCTTTCACATCTGTCACATGTGCTCAGGGTGAAGCTGCTCTCATCTGTGAAAAGCACAGGGTGCCAGTGGCAGACCTGCCAATTCTGGTGTTCAAAGGAAAATGCCAATCGAGCTATATGGTGCTCCTCCACGAGAGGACATTGGGCCGTCATGCCACCCTCATGAAGTCTGTTTCTGATTGTTTGTTTAGTCAGAGATATTCACACCAGTGGCCTGCTAGAGGTCATTTTGTAGGGCTCTGGCAGTGCTCATCCTGTTCCTCCTTGCACAAGGGAGCAGATACCTGTCCAGGTATTGCCTCATGCTACCAATAGTGACACTGACCATAGCCAAATGAAAAAATGTCACAAAAGATGAATAGGGAAACAAATGTCAATGGCCTCCACCTGTAAAACCATTCCTGTTTTGGGGGTCATCTTATTGTTGCCCATCTAGTGCACCTGTTGTTAATGTCATTAACACCAAAGCAGCTGAAACTGATTAACAACCCCCTCTGCTACTTAATTTATCAGATCAATATCTCAGGAGTTTAATTGATGCTATACTCTGATTAAAAACTGTTCATTTTAATTTGTTTGAGTGGTGTACTTTGAGTAAGTCAAGTAAAACAATTTTTTGTACATATATAACTAACTAGGATGTGGTGGTCTTATCCACTGATATCCATCCCTTAATATCTTTATATCAGGTACTTTAGAAAAGAATCTGCATACATTTCTTACAGAATTAAAACAATTAGGAAGTATTAATAAAGAGTGTGTATTCACTGCAGAATAACATTTTATGTTCAGGAGAATTTGGAATAAATAGAGCAACCTAATAGGATGTCCATCATTATAGGTACTTATATAGTGCCGTCAATTTGCACAGCGCTTTACATATATATTGTACATTCACATCAGTCCCTAACCCTCAAGGGTTGTACAATCTAAGGTCCCTAACTCACATTCATACATACACATATTAGGGCCAATTTAGACAGGAGCCAATTAACCCACCAGCATGTCTTTGGAGTGTGGGAAGAAACCAGAGTACCCGGAAGAAAACCCATGCAGGCACAGGGAAAACATGAAAACTCCAGGCAGGTGGTGACGTGGCTGGGATTTGAACCAATGACCCTAGTACTGCCAGGCAGAAGTGCTAACGATTTAGCCACTGTGCTCACTTAGTGTTCCTAAACCCAGTCTGTACTGGATATGCAGTAAAGCACGCTTGTTATACTCACAGTGTAACCTAAGTGATTAATCCTCTGCATTGTGTAAAAATGCTGTTATATCCTGTCTTATCGGATCCTCCCCTTCTACTGTCCCCAATCCATCTCCTGATAGAACATAGTCTTGGGGGCAAGCTGCACATGTTCTGTTTGGTGTGCATTGTTTGTTTGGGTTTTTTTTTTTTCTTGGGAGAGTGCATATGATCAGCACAGGGCCAATTAGCACTGTCCAGACAGAGGATCAGGGGTCCTGCAGCCTCATAGGACAATCAGGGGAGAAGGAAAACTCTCCCCCTACAAGCTTTAACCAGTGTTCTGCTGGACATTGATAGAAGTCACAAGACTGCTCTAACTGCTGATGAGAAAAGGTATTTAGCAGTTTATATTTAATAAAATAATTGCATTTCCATGTTCTGTGTACTGTGGGAGATCAGATATAGAGAATGCGGGGTCCGGGGTTTAGTAACACTTTAAAAAGCAGAACTCCAGGAACAAAATGAAATTGTCCATTTAAAAATTACAAAACCGGCTTTTGTTGCAATGTTCAGCTTCAATCCAGAGATTTCCCCACAGTACTTTTTTTTTTCTTTTTTTTGCCACAGATATCTGTCTGTTGGGCTCAGGGGTAGGATGCTGTCCAGGTTGTCCCAGACCCACCCCTGCCTGTGTCTGGACAATGAAAGAAGCCACACCGTGCCAAGCTAATCTTGGTCACTCTACTTTCTCTTTACTTGCTATCAGCACATTTCTTGTTGGCACATGAACTGATTGGCTCCCCGTGGGCAGTAGTGTATTTTGGTTTTGTGCTGCCCTAGGCAAGATTACAATTGAAACCCCCCATCTAAATTTGTCCTTCCCTTTGCT